TTAAAGAATGATTTCTCTTCTCTCTTCTTGTTGCCCTAGGAGTTAGCCTTGGACATAGGAAGACTTTTTTCTTCTTCCTTTATTATTTATCCATATGACCTTACGTATGTCTTTAAAAATAGCTTTTTTTTAATAGCATATATGTTTTTCATTTAAGACCATTTGTTCATGTCTTCACGCTTTCCTCCAGTTATTTTGGGCAGTACAAATCGTTTCAGCTGTAAAATTGTTTCCTCTTTATTCATAAACCTCACTAGTAAGTGGTTGTTACATTCATTTGCTATTCAGTATTTTAGAGATGAGAAATTTTAATAGATCTGAAAAAACGCATGACGTTCTGTTAAGCATAGAAAGTTAGAAGGATATTAATTTTTTAAGAGAAACTATGCCAAAGTGTCATTTAAAAACCTCTTTCAATTTATGTTGAATAATCTTTATGGCTAATTATGTCATAGGTGTTTTTATTTCAGCTTTTCTTGATGAGGAGGATTGTGGATTTAATTGTACAGTTGAATTTAAATATTTGCCTTCCTTTTTGACCTCTTGATCTGAAAAAGTAATGATTAAAATGACTATAAGAGAACTATAGTCGATCTCATTCTTACGTAGGAACACATGGAGAAAACTAACACACATTAGGTTCCCACTGTGTGCTGAGCATTTTCTTGGATACTTTAACGTTGCTTTTTTAACGTAATGCTCACAATTCCATGAGAAAGGTATTAACTACATATTTTATAAGTGATTCTGTAAACACAGACTCTAGTTTTTGTTGTTTCCCTCATGAGAGTACTTACAAGTGGAATTTAAAAGCTCACCTAGAGATCACACATGTCTGGTGTGATCACCATGACTCCATTTGGCTGCAGTAGACCTCCTCTCGAGCTTTGCCAGCCTCCTTCCTAACAGAGCAGGTGGGAACAGGTGTGTGGACAAGGGACAGAGCAAAGCAGTTGTGTGGAGTTTCATCCTGTTCAGTCCCAATCAATTCAACTCCGGTCACATTTTTTTCCTGGGAAGCAGGAGCCGCACACATGTGAGCAGTAGCATGCTACCAATATTTCTTTTTTTTATAAAACTAATGATCTCTAGGTCCTGCTTTTTTTCAGACTCCCTATCATCTCATTCCATTCTTCTACCCTCCAGCCACACTGCGTTCTGAGCTATTCCTCAAACATGCAAAGCCTTATTCGGCCTCAGGGCCTTTGCTCTAGATTTTCCTTCTCCCTGGGGATAATTCTACCCCCCCCAACTCTGCTCCCCAAATCTTTAGATGGCCAGTTCTGTACCATTATTCTTGTTTCAGCTTAAGGTTTCCTTCTCAGAGAGGTGTCCCCTGACCATCCAACGGAAGTTACTCAGTATATTTCCCTCTATTATTTTCTTTATTGTATTTATTGTTGTCTGAACTCTTTTGTTCATACATTGGTTTACTAAGTTATGGGCAGTGCACACAGAATATAAACTCTGTTAGAGCAAAGTTTGTATCTTTCTTGTTGAATGCCTAGAATTGTAGCTGTATAGTAGTAGATAGTACATGTTTGCTGAGTGTGTCGGTTGGATTATTTTCTTGGACTTCCACCTTAGAGTGGAATGCATGCTTGTCCTCGCTAGGGGAGCGTGGGATCCATCCAGATCTTGCTATTCCCCAGCTATGTCACTTTAGAGATGACTTTTAATTTGTTCCACCCTCCGTTTATAGAGTCCTTTACCTCACCTGTGAGTTAAATGAATTATACAAGATAATATATGAGGAAGTGTTTTTAAACCAGGAAAGACCTCTGCAATGTGAAGTAATACTATTAAATGGATCATGGCTTAGAATTAATACGACGACCTGAGCTAAGGACTTTCCATGCATTGTCCCACCTAATCCTTAATCCAGCCACCTTATTTGACTCTTATCCTGATATTACCATTGAAGAAATTAAGACTTAAAGATAGTGATTAGTTTACAATTGCTAAAGTTGGATTCATGCCCAGCTCCACTTGTCTCCAAAGCCTGAAGGCCTAATCATATGGAATTCTGTTTCTCAAATTTCCATCAAACATTTTTATATGTGAGATAACGTTGAATGATCATTTAATTCATTCTTATTTTGTCTTTATTTCTGTTTTTAAGATCCTGATGAATTTGAGCAAATATACGAGCCTCTGGATGTTAAAAGTAAAAAGATCCATGTGGTAGACAGTGGGCTTACATTTAACCTGCCGTATCCCTTGATCCTGAGGCCTCAGCGGGGGGTTGACCTCATCATCTCCTTTGACTTTTCTGCAAGGCCGAGTGACTCGAGTCCTCCATTCAAGGTAAGCAGACTTTATGTGGCATTGCAGTCTCTACCACATTCTCTTGCATGCCTTATGGATCTTTTAGTCTTCTTGACCCCACTTTTATATCCCTTTAGCCTATTTTCTACATTTTTATGAGTAGTATTTCTAAAATGCAGATGTGATCCCATCACTCCCTAACTTTTAAATGATTCCAATGAGCTCAATAAAGTTCAGAGTCCTGATCAGGACAAGAATGATATAATGGATCAGAAGTTTAAAAAGGAAGTTAGGCTGAGATTTGGAAGTTAGCAGGTCGAAGACAATTAAAACTATGCACAGAGAGGGTATACCTAGAGAAGATAAGCAGATCTAGAATAGGACCTTGAAGAACAACTTTATCAAAGGAAAAGGAAGAAAACAAAGTGTACAGTGTTATGAAAACCAAGTGAAGATATTTAACAACATGGCGGTCTTTAGTGAACTGGGTGGGCAGTTTCAATGGGTTTGTGAAGGCAGAAATCAGATTGGAGTCGTTTGAGACATGAGTGGAACTTCAAAAAATGGAGATAATTCTATAGATTACTCCAGAAAGAAGGAGATAGACTATCTGGAAGAGGATGTGCAGAAGAAAACAGTGTGTGTGTTGTTAATAGAAGAGATTTAAGCATGTTTAAATACTGATGACTAGGAGTCATCAATGAAAATATTATTAGAGAATAGAGAGATGAGGCAAAGGATAGAGTCACATCTCTGGACAGTTATAGGGATGGGAAGTGGGAGAGAGATACAAAGATATAGGTGGAGAGCGCTGTAGAAATGTTTATACTGAGGCAAGAGAGGAGGGGAAATAATGGCTGTGAATGGAGATTCATTGTTAGGCACAGAGAAGAGAAGTTGAGAAAGCACTCGTCTGATGTCTTCTAGCTTTTATAGGAATTAGGAGTCAAGTCATCTTTTGAGGATGAGAAAAAGGAGGTAGTGGCGTCAGGACTGTGGGGAGAATAAAAGTCTGCCTTCGTGACGAAATGAGAAAAAGTTGTGAATAGGATGATGTGTGAGGACTGCCAGGCCACAGTGCTATCTGTTCCCTCTGCCTGAATCCCAAGCTGTCTTGGGACACATCTCAAACGTTATCTTTCTTGATTTCCACCCTTACGAGTATAGTTAAGGTATATAAGACTTAGTAAATTCCTCTAATACAGCAATTATCATGGTCTATTGTATGTGTTTATTTACACAGATATTGCTTTCACTCTCTGCAACACTATTTTATGTGTTTGCTCTGTTTTAATCATTTGGTCCTTATTGCCTTATAAATGCTGGCCAAATTGTGAATATATAGGACATTTTTTATTGGTGAGTGCATGAAACACTGTAAGCAAGATAGAGTGGTTATCCTCATTTCATAGACTAAGAAAAAGAAACTCAGAGATTAAGTGAGACAATCCGTGATCTCCCAACCAGGAAGAGTCAGTGATAACTCAGGTTCTCTGACTGCACATCTGGTTTCCTTTCTAATACACAATGATTAAACTGCTCTCAGGACTAATCATGGTTATCATTGTAACTCTTAAATATTTTTTAAAACCTCACATTTTCAAAATGCTTTCACGTTTGATGTTTTTTTTTAGGCAGTAAGTGGTATTTAGAAAAGGAAACAAGGATCAGTGAGGTGAGATCTCATCAACAAATTTAATAGAATACTGTGTGAAATGAGCATAGCCCAGGACCTGGCTGGGAAGGGCTGGAGAAGAAATGGTAGAGCTTGGATCGAATTCCAAGGCTGCAGAATGAGAATCTGATCCCTGTTACCAGTTGCCTCTTTTGTGCACACTGTGTGTGTCCTCTTTTCTATGCTGTATGTTGTGTACAGCAGTGAAGGCGAAAACATGGTTCCTGATATCCGTAACATTTTGGCTTTTTTGAGGGGAAAGACTTTTATACATTTGAAGGGAAACCTAGAAACTTATTGTTAAATGGTTATTTGGGTTTATATAAGTATATGTATTATTGGAGATCGGTATAAGAATAGATTGGTGTATCCTGGAGTTGATGAACAGGAACGTAAATGAAATAGGATAAACACGTCACAGAGATGGCCATGAGCACATCTGAGGGACTGGAGTGACCTGATTCGAAGTGACAGATATTACACTGTCATTAGGAGAAGTTAGGGGGGGAATTTAAGATTAGGAAATTAAGATAGGAAATAGAGAATCAGTGGAGGATTTCCAGCAGACAAATGACTTTATAAACTTGGAATGTAGAATGATTAATCTGACAGTGGAAAGTAGGATGAGTTGGAGAATGGAGAGCAAAGGATTAAAGTGAAAAGGGGTTTATTGTAATCCAAGCACAGGATAATAAAGAACTGTACTGGTGACTATGACCCATGAGGAACAATGGGGAATGGGATTCAGTGGATGACTTAAGAAGCTAGCTTAGAAATTGGTTCTGGTGGTGAAGACACTGTGTTATTCATTTCACCAATGGGACTGTAAAATGTCAAAGCCATCATTTTATATGTGAATCACAGCTCCACTACCTCAGTGAGTTGATATTGGAAGGAGGTTTCAGAATATTACTTTGTACCTCTAAAAAGAATCATTATGCTCTGCAGTACTTTATTTTTATCTATCTGTCTATCTATCTATCTATCTGATGCTTCAGCTTTGCTTTTTAATAACTTAAGACTGACACATGGCCATCCACTCCTGAAGAGTCCTGACCCTCTGGACAATGTTCAGACCCATCCCCTGCTCCCCCCACCACCCTCCCTGCTGCCCACCTGCCCATCCACAGCTCTGCAGTACTTTAAAAATACATATTAATTATTTGTGACTAAGATGAGTATATACTTGTAAAACATATGAATATTTTGGGCTATATGTCAAGTACTTCTAGACAACAGCTGCTAATATTATTGTATTTTCTTCTAGTATTTCTTCAGGGTGTGTGTTTGTGTGTGTGTGTGTGTCCACTGGGGACATATAATTTTGCCTTCTGCTTCTTTACACTTACAACTATACAGTGAGCATTTTCCCATTCCATTAAATATTTTTTAAACATAATTATAAATACATATGATAAGATAAATATAAAAAGTATGTCTAAAAGATAATAAAAGATATATAGTATCTCTATACTTGGATATACAATAATTTAACAATGCTCTATTTTCAACTTTTAGATTATTGCTGTCCTGCCACTTTTTTTCTATAGTCATCATCTTTGAAATGAATCTTTAATCACATTTTTATTATTTCCTTAGGTTGGCTCTAGATGTATATATCACTTTATGACTTTTAACAAATATTTTCAGATTGGTTCCTTAAAAAGCTGAACCAATTTACATACATTACAATATGTGAGCCCCTATTTGGACTTTGCTGGCATGAAAAAAATATTAAAAATAAAGTAAAAAATATTGCAATGTAATGGAAAACCACACATTTTTGCTTCAGTTTTCTTTCTTTGCTTGTGAGATTAAATAGTTTGTCATGCTTATTGTATATGTATGCTTTTAAACTACTTTTAATTGAATTATTAGTGTTGCTGCTATTGACTAATAAGCATTCTCCTTACATCTTAAGGACATTGTCTTATTTTTTCTATTGATTAATAAGTATTCTCTTTACGTCTTAAGGACATTGTCTTATTTTTGCAAATATGATCTAATGTCATTTGCATTGAAATTTTTATTTCTAATTTTATTGTTTTAAATATTTATGTAGTGACTTCTCCCATTGCTTTTAACCTTGAAATTTTATTCATATGTCTCACCAAGATTAAATATGCATCAATTTTTTATGAAATCCCTTAAAAATATTTTAGCTCATTAATATTTCTTAATATGTTGAGTGTGTAATAACACAATCCTGCGTAACCTTTTTTCCCCCACATTATTTTGTGATTTTTATAAACTATGTACCATATTATTATTATTAGAGCTCAAAAGGGTCTGTTTTGTGTTTATCTGTTGTGTTTCACTGGCATATATGACAATCTGACAATTCTTATCTAAGTAACATACTGCATTTTAATAACTGTTGTTTTATTATATGTTTACTATCTTAGACAGCATGTCTCTTTCTACCTGTGCATTCTTATAGATGTGCTTTAGAATTATTTTTTCAATTCCTTTCTTCCCACCCCTTTCCCCAAATGTATATATTTCCTTTCATTATTGATTTTGTATCCTATTGCTCTGGTAATAATTAATCATATTTTAGAGATATATAAAGGAAATTGTAATATATCACATATAATACATTTTTTTAGTCTCCATAAATGAACTTCAGCAAGTTCAAATTAAACATAATGAACTTTTCAGTCTTACTTGGAATATTGACCGTACTTTCTAAACCTATGAGTGTTGTTACAAAAATATGCATTTCTAAATGTTCTAAAAGATTACCCAAATATAGTTTTTAAAATGATAAAAATATTACACTATTAATGCCAAAATAGAATATTTACTTTAGCTATAGTATAGTAAGTTTTAAAAATTGATAAGGAGTCTACATGAAGTTCATTTGATAGGAGAGAAAAAACTCCAGTGTAATAATTGGATAAATGCAATATGATTTTATTAAGGCAATTAAATAGTGAATCGTTTTTTTATTTTTGAGACTGAAATATAGACGTCATTTTTCATAAAAGAATAGAGCATAAATGTTGGCAAAAATTAGAACCATTGAATTTATTTCATATTCATTAATAATTCTAGTATTTTATTAGTATAGTTAAATCTCAAATTTTGCCAGGAATAGGTAGAAAGGTGGAAATCATGGCTTTTGATAAAAGCAACCACAGTTTATGTTATATCTTCATTGTAACTGGCCTTGAAAGTTAATGACGTCAATGTAAGTGTTATATATATATATATATATATATATTTAGATTACTTAGCACATACTCTAATAGTCTGATTTAGTCTCATGATTCTAAATATGATTCCTATTGATTTATTTAGGAAAAGCAACTCTGTGTTTTATTTTGTCAAGTTTCTTTTTATTAACCATTTCATAACTTAAATATATACACATGTAAATTTAGTTCACCGTGAGGGTCAATCCAAGGAAAATTCTAATGAGATTTGTGTTTAATTGTTGTTTGTGAAAATAAGCCAGGGTCTTCATACTCAAGCCTGCAAAATAAACAGACTGTAAATTTGGTAGGGGAGTGGGGGGAAGAGGGGACTTTGGGTTTCATTGAGGAGCAAGCAAGCAAGGAACACAGAAGAATTCAGAGTTTACTGCTGGAGACATTTCCCCCTTTATCTTACTAAATTTTATGATGAGTAATAGATTTAAGTTATTATACCATAAATTATGTCATATTATGTCGCTTTATACTGAGCATAAATCTGGGTTAGATTTTTAGTGCTCTTTCAAATATTTAATCACCAGAAGCCAGAAAAATGGGTTTGTTCTCTTAAGAAGAAAGGAAAGAAAGAGGAGAAAAGGAACAAAGCGGGCAATGAGGGAAGGAGACAAGAAAGAAAGAAGGAAGGAATATTTAAAATGAGCCAGTCTTGACAAATGATAGAAGTAATGTATCCAAATTAAATTTATTTTCATGTCTATCGCGTTACAAAGCTCTTGGATTCTGATACCAGCATGTCTTCTAATGGAAGTGAGAGTGACTATAACCATAAAATAATGAATTCTAAATTGTAGTTTCTGTCTGTTGTATCTTACATTAGTTACTTCAATAATTTTCTAAGATTCTGTTGACTTATTTATATGCAGCCCCTCTCCCTATTCTTAAAAATAGGTTTTAAATAATAAGAAACATCTTAGTATAGAAAGCACATATTCCAGGTTTTCACAGAAACAAAAAAAATCTCATTTCCTCTAATGATAAGCCAACTTATTATTTTATATATATGTATTTATATGTATAAATATATTTTTCATATATTTAAAACATATATTTTCATATTCTTGTATATGCCATTTCCTTTATTTATATATGAGTATATGCATTCACTCTTTGGTTTGAATATATTTCTGTTACTTAGATTATTTTTTCTCTCCTTCAAGACTTTTTAGTACGTTTTAGTACTCAAAAATGAGCATGAAAATTTTACAAAGTACCGCTTTGAAGGATACTGTCAAATTTTTATCTCTACAGAAAATGGTTTCAGATACTACGTTAAGTTTACTATTAATTAGTCTATGGAAATACGAAGTATCTGAGGGGTCAAACAATAATCAAATGGATAGTTATAGCAGAGCACAGTTCTGGCGTGTTGCTGTAATTTGTGAAACAGCAATTTTTTGGCTGTTCATTGCATTTTTCTAAAATACGTTTTTCAAACCAGTGTGCCTTACTCACAGTCTGTGTCATTATTTCTCAGCTTTTACAGAGGGAAACGAGACATCAGAAAGAGATGGTTTTTCCATTCGGTAATCACTGTCTTTGTAGTCATCAGTTCTTAATATTTTCCACATCAGGATCATATAAGAAAAGAGAAAGTTTCCATCTCTTCCTGATTCCTGTGTAAAATAATCTATCTAAAAATAGTCTGGCTTTTACTTCACGTAGTTCCGTTTTCCTCTTTCTCCACAAATCCACACATTATTGGTCATAGGCTTGAGTCATGTTTATAAACACTAGAAAGCTCTTTCTTTCCTTGTCCTCACGCAATTGCTTCACAGTGTGAACTTTTGGTTTTATTTTGATGTTGAATAATCATGTATGAATAATTGTGAACAGTGCTAGACAAGAAATAACAATCTGATTAATGCAACTGAACAGAAAAAAAAAGAAAGAGTTAATCGTAAAAGTTTTATGAAGTTTCAAACAATAAATAATTCATACATATATGTGATTTTCAGTGAAACAGGGTTGTATTTACCTTTGTAGTATATGAAGCAAATGCTTTCACATACATTATATCCTTTGTTCTCCCTCATTTTTATTTCTTTTTAAATGATAGTGAGAGAGATAGTTGATCAACCTAAAATTCACAACATTCCAGAAGCATGAGTGGTGAAAATTGAATGAAAAGTGTGTTTTTCTCTGAATTTAAGGTACTATGTTAAGTACTTGTTTTCTCTGAATCTAAATTACTGACACTTTTCTACATTTAATCCTCACAGCAATTCGATAAGGAAGGAGATTGTATTAACTTTATTTTAGAGGCAGAAAAAGAATTGTTGAGAACTAAGGACCAGCTGAACTATAGGTGAGATGGGAACGCGAGTCTGCCATCTCAGGCACAGTGAACAACCGAGTCCTTGTTTGTTTGTTGTTACTCATAATCCTTACAGTACCATTAGGGGAGTGTCACTGCGTACTGCAGTGTCCCCAAATACATTGTTCCCTGTGGAGCTGTGGTTGGCTAAGCAATTTGCCTCCAGTCACTCAGATAGCAAGTTAGGGTGTCTGTGTTGGAGCTGAGCCTTTCAGGCTGCACACCCCAGGCACACAACCTTCCATCACCTTCCCCACCTCAATTGTACTGTGCTCTATTATCTATTTATTTCTCCAGTGATTGATAAACTCCAAAGCTTCAAGCACAGACTCTCTCTTACAATTAGAACACAGCGGGTGCTCAATAATAATTGTTGAATGAATTAATAAGTACTCTGAGGAAATAATACAGGTACAATGCAAAAGCTGTACTTTTTTCATAGCATTTTCCAGTTTTAAACACGAAGGGTTATTTTATTACCATTTCTCACTCACCAGGCTATCAATGCCATAACAGCAAGAGCCACGAGTGTGTGACTCACTGTTGCGTTCCCAGCTCCTAGCACGGAACCTGGATTGGCCACTCATCGTCGGGATTGACTGGGTCAGTCTGACAGCAAGAGTAGTTTAAAGCACAAGACTCTGATGTGCTTTATCCCCCAAACCTCCTCCCTGTAAGAATTTCTTTGATACTGTTTCTATCTCTCTTTCTTTTCTTTTTCTCTCTTGTTTTCCTCATTTTTTCCCTTCCATCTCTTTTCTGGTATTTATTATCGGTCATTTGTGTAGCACTGAATATGTGACAAGCACTGTTCTAAATGCTGTAAAATATTAATTTGTTTAATTCTAATAGCAATCCTATGAGATAGGTATTATTATTAACATCATAGTTTATATTTGAGTATAACGAGTACAGAGACATTGAGTTAAGAAACAAGCCTAAAGCCACAGAGCTTGTGCTGGGCTCAGGCATCTGGCCCCAAAGTCTGTGCTTTTACCACTAGGATATTCTGCTTCTTACCCCATTCCCCCCAAAGCAGCACATAAATGGGAATGAGGTCTATTCTCTGAACCTCTCCATATTGATTTATTTCTCCAGTTTAAATTTATATATATATTTTTATACTTACCCGCTAAGCTAGTCAGCTTTGATGCAGAGACAAACCCTGAATCTCAGTGTCTGGCAAAAACATACACTTCTTGGTCATGTTACTTGTCAGCAGCTGCAAGTCAGCTGCTGTGGCTTTGTTCCATGTGTCTTCTCATTTTAGTGGGGGTGTATAATCTTACTAGGAAAGGAGCTAATACATAGAAACAACCATAGTATAAGCTGTGACAACTAACTAATCTCTTGGTACCTCTGGGTGATCTACCCTTGGCCACTGCACATGTAATTGCTGAGGCCAGAAGCTCAATTTCTTTTTATAAACAGAAACCAAAAAAGCTGTTGCAGAGCAACTCAAATATTTTTTCATACATAAAATGAATGAACTTTTTAATTGGCATTTTTTAACACTTTGGTGGAGATGATACAAGTAAAAATCCAGTAACAGAGGGATCTTATTCTGCATCATCAGATTCTTTTTACTCCTTTTTTTACTGCTACGGTTAAAAAAACATTCGCATGGTTATGAATACTCTGAACCCATAGTATTTTCTTTAGTAATTTCTTTAACATAATTTCATTCAGTTCAGTTCACCAATAATTTTTCAGATGCCTTCTGTGGAGCTAGCCCTGTGCCAAGAACTGACATATCAGTAGAGAGTTTGTGTGTGGTGTACTTTTATGTATTTTTGATATTGATGGGCTTCTTGAGAACAGGACTGTTATTCATCCCTACAAGGAGATCCTGCTGGCACATGGTAGACATCTGTTGGATATTGAATAATGGTCAGGCCAACTGAACAAATAAAGACTGGAAATTCCTAAATGCATCTTTCCCTCTTTCCCGTAGGAACTTCTACTTGCAGAAAAGTGGGCTAAAATGAACAAGCTCCCCTTTCCAAAGATCGATCCTTATGTGTTTGATCGGGAAGGACTGAAGGAGTGCTATGTCTTTAAACCCAAGAATTCTGATATGGAGAAAGATTGCCCGACTATCATTCACTTTGTTCTGGCCAACATCAACTTCAGAAAGTACAAAGCTCCAGGTATGTTGGGAATAAGTTATATTCCATAGAAATCTGGTAGGGAAGCAAGACTGATATTAAGCTGTATCACACTGGC